GGCTCTCACAGGTAAGCACACACCTCCGCACGCGCTCTTGCTCACGGGCAAGCACACCTCCGCACGCACTCCGGCTCTCACAGGTAAGCACATCTCTTTCCGCACGCGCTCCAGCTCACGGCAGAGAGCACTGCTATCTACAGAGGAAGGCAGCACTCACACAGCTCCTTCCCCCTTCGGACGTTTCCCAGGTAATCCATGTGGCTGGTGCTAGGAAAGCTCCTTGAACTTGACCCAGGCAACACGGCTCCCACCTGGATCACCCACCTTCCTCCTCTCTAGTCTGGTTTCCCCGACTTAACTTTCCTCTCATGAAGGTTCCCTGTTCATGGTCTAGAAACCATACACTGACAACATTGTGCTTTTAAAACCAGTTCCTGAAGACCCCCTTCCCCGACCCTGATGGCCTTCAAGGGGGACAGAGAACAGCACCTCATGGGTAAAACCACAAACCAAAACCAAAGGACTGCTGGAGCCTCCCGGGACCCCCTAAGCGGCTCCCAGCATCTCAAATGGAAAAGCAGGCCCTGAATTCTGTAAAGCAGCCTGTAGGGTTAAAGGCCACTGTCTGAGTAACAGGCAATGAGCTCTCAAGTAACCTAAGGAAGTAACTACAGCAAGGCGCGCGCACCTGTCATTTGGTAAAAGTGCTGCCATCACAGGGAGGCCCCCGAGGACACTGCCCCTGGCAGCTGGCTCCTCTCTGACACAGCGGTGCGGTCACCCGCCAACACAGCCACCTGCAGCCCGGACAACGGGGACAGCGGTGGCAGCAGCCCTAACATCCAGGGATGAGAAGGCCTTTGGAAGTCAAATTGATACCCTGATTGCAGCCCGTAAAGAAATTGCTTAGTTAACAGACAAATGAACTTCAAATATCCACAAACAATTGCCTCCCGCATGTGCTGGTCACATCGGCCAGCTCTCAAGAAGGGAGGGCACAGTTTCTTGACACTTAACATTCAAAGGTTTATTGGCCCTATTAATTTTCCTCACGAACGTTTGTAAGTTACCTATGAGTTCTCAGAATGTCAAAGTAGAAGAGAAAACACCGACTGAGTGCAGGGGTGGGGGGGCGTGCCTGGACGCCCCCTCGAGGCCGCCCGGCCTCAGGCGTCCTTTCTTTCCAGTAAGATTCTGTGCAGCTCGTCGGCATCCTCACTTGCTTTCACCCGAATCAACATGGGAACCGGGGTGGCGGCGTTCTTCTCGTCGATAGGAGGGTTTGGGACACAGACGATAAGCACGTTGTTCTTGCCCGTCCGGGTGCACGGCATGCTGGGCGGCACAAGGACATTCAGCAGGATGTTGCCTGCGGTTAAACCAAGACAGACAGACAGACAGACACGTAAAAATCAGACACTGTGGCCCCCGGAGCCGTTTCCACTTGGTGGATTTCAAACCAGGAGCCCAGGAACGTCCAAGGGAAGCTGGTTTGGGAAGCGGCCACCACTGGGGTGTGCCCTTCTGCCCTCTCTCCCCTCCTGAGGCTCCTCCAACCACACCAATGTCTCTCGGAGAGGGGACCTCACTTCAGAATGTCCCACCTGTCTGAACACTGCACATTCTCGTGTCTGAGGAGAAACAAGCTGGTAGGATCCAGTCTTCACCAGCTCCCATCAAACAGAGCAGATGACAGGGCTAGGGTCCCAGGTCAGAACAGGACTGTGACACCACTGCCCGCCCACAGGACAGCCAAGGCCACTGTGGCTCTGCTCCTCTCCCCCGCAGCCCCGCTCTCCTCCAGGGCATGTCTGCAGGGTAGCGCTGGATGGGACAGGGAGGTGGGGTACAGGAGTGACCGTGTGCTGTACCACCTGCACTCTTCCACACGGTTACCACCTTCGCCTTGTCACGTTACAACCGGAAGAGAAGGCTGTGGTGGTTACCACCTTCTGGTCACTTGTTCACATAGTGCATCTCCTTACTACCATTCCGGTACTGAAATCAAATCCCTAAGAACGTGCAGAGCACGTGGCTGATGTGGTCTAGACAAGGATTGCATGCAAGTACCCACTGACACACCTGTGAGCACCCTGTGCCAGGGAGGACATCACCCACCTAGATTGGTGTCCGCCCGCACGAGAAGCTGCGTCTTCTGATTCGCTGTAGGTTTCAAGTGCAGAGTGCCTACACCCTTCTCTTTAAATTCATTGTCTTTCTTGTAAAATAGTTTGCACCTACAGAGAGAAAAATCCTAGGTGTGACTGGGCCTCACCACCAAGGCAGCCACTGTCTCCAACACCAAGTACGCAGCCCTGGGTGGAATCTGTATGCAGGGACAGACCCTTCCCTGGTGCAGACGAACTGGGTCTGGGCACAAACCAGGATAAGCAAAACCACGTAGACATCCCAGAAGCCCCAGTTTTTCAAAGTAAACAGACGGTCTGACAAGACTTGTCTCCTTTCCAAAATCCCCTTTCCTCCGTTAACTCAAAGGTCCTGGCTGAACCCTCCCCGCCTCCCTGTTCTGCTCCTCAGCCCTGACTCGCAAGCTGCGAGGGGCCTTATGCAGCAAATGCAAGACCCACCCCCCACCCCCTTTTCCTTATATTTGAAACTGTTCTCAGGATCCTTCTGTTCGTGACCTCCTGAGATGAAGGTGAGCCTAGGCACCAACTGCAAGGCAGGGCCTGACTAAGGTGAAAGCCACCCAACGCCTCGCAGCTGCCACCTCAAGCATCCCCTGAGGAGGCACTCACACCACACCTGCTTCTACAATCCATGCTGACCAGAGCCGTCCCTTTACTGCCATCTATGTAACCAAGTTTAGAAACACGCAAAGAACTGTCAGGCTCTTAAAAGTTCTCAGAAAGAGAAGAACACTTGGGACTTGCACAGGATGTGGAGAACTGCTGGTTCCTCACTCTGAAGTCTCTGTGTCAGAAAACCCCACTGCAGAAGCTTCAGAACCAGCAGGAAGGTTCTCTGTACAAAGAACCGGTTCATCTCGGTTCACTGACAGGGAGGAGGGGAGATTCCCGCCTTCGCACTGGCTTTCTTCTCAAAGGAGCGCTTTCAAAGCAGCAAAGAACCAACTCTCACAGCAAAGAGGAAGACAGGCCCAGTGAGGACTTCCCAGAACTGCTTTGCTGTAAACCAGCAGGCCGAGAAGCCTTGCCCTCCAGGAGCCGGCAGGGCCAGGCTGACAGCAGGAGCAGGCCCGCAGGCGGAGTCAGGCCGGGAGGGGACTTCCTGAGACCCCGCGCCCTGGGAGGCCCCATCCCGTCCCTGATGGCCCGTGTGGAGCCCCTCAGGAGCCCTACTTACTTTTTGGAGTAAAAAGCATCTTCTTCCTTCACTTCAGTAACCACTACTCGGGGTGGTTCGTCAGCCGCCTCCTCTTCTCCGCCTTTTAGAGAAAGACGCCAACTCAGTGAGACGCCAGCCTCCACCCCTCACCTCCACCCAAACAGTCACTCTTCAGTGCACCCAACAGTTTTTTAAAAGCAAAGCTAATTTTTTGGGGAGGGAGGCAGGCTGAAATGGGGAGACGCCTGTGGATTTTCATTATTTTGGGAAAATAAAGCATTTATACAAGCTACATCCATCTCTATTCTAAGTCGTAATTTGTAAGAAGCCCTGGAATGGAAATACGTCCACGTGTACAACTTAGTGGACAGGCAGCAACACTGTCAGGCCGCCAGGCCGCCAGCGCCTGGCCACCCACATTCAAACAACCCACCAGTCAACGCACAGCTCAGCAGACTTCTCACAGCTTTGTCCCCAAACGTTCCTGGGACCACAGCTACGTCAGGCCAAGGAGTAGCACAGAGACACAATAGCAAAGCCAACAGTGCAAGTTGTCAGGAGTTGTTCTAAAGTCAAATGTGCCCAATGCTACCCAGCTGCCCTTGTCACACAGGCACTCGTGGTCACAGTGGGTCTGAAACACCCTGACAGTCCCCGACCACACAAGAGCTGCACTTAGACCTGGACAGAAGGGACCCATTTAAAGGGCGAGGCAGTGGCGCTCACCGGCTCACCAAGCACCCTTGACTACGAACAACGATTCTGGTGCCCAGACGGTCCCGGTCGTGGGTTTAAACTTGAGAAAGGGACTGCTGGGGACCCTGGGGCTGGATTCATTTTGTATCCTCTCTATTTCTGTGGCCACAAGAAGAAGAAAACTCAAGTCTGCTACAAACAGGTACTGCACAAAGCCAGGGTTCTTAAACTGCTGCCGGACCCTCCCTGGGAGCTTCTGAAGAGCAGGACCCCAGGGCCCCCAAGTTATGCTCTCCCAGGAGGCCCTGGACGGAGCGCTGGTGGTGCAACGGTTAAAGCATCTGGCTCCTAACCAAAAGGTCAGTGGTCTGAGCCCACCAGCTGCTCCCTGGAAGACAGCTAAGCAGTCTGCTTCGTAAAGATCCAGAGCCCTGGAAACCCAGCGTGTGCGCAGTGGGGGGTGCTTTCATTTGTAATCCACGCTGATGGCAATGAGTTGGTTTGGTTATGGTTGGGAAGGCCCCAGCAACTACCAGGTGAACAAACGCCCAGGACTTCTAGGTGTAAACACCTGGACACAGAACCGTACCGTCCAGGATGCCATTTGAACCCAACTTCCCTTCTGCAAGCCCAGCTTCCCTGCCCCCGACGCCCCTCTGGCCCCTGGAGAGCCTGTATGTCTCACTGCAGTCCAAGGGGATACTCTCCGTTGCCCTGGAAAGCTCATGCCAAAGGATGCTCTTGAGAGCAAGACCTACGGAACAGCTCCCAGTACAACTGTGCCACCTTCAGAGGCAAAGCGACAGCTGCTGCTTCACTTGTGGTGATCCATGTGAACACTCGCTGCTTACAAGGGGACAGTCCAACAGATGGCCACAGAAGCCCCACCCACAATCAAGAGGTAGACTGTGGACAGCCACTCACAGCCAGGAGTAGCCGAGGGAGGGGCTGCCTGAGCCCAAGCCTGGGCTTTCCTCCCAACTCATGCACCTGAGTCCACTGCTGACCTGCCCTGACATGCTGAGCCGGCACTCCATCCACCCTGACCCCCTCTGACCCTGCACACGACCTGCTCGGAGCTGGCACTCTGTCCACCCTGACCCTGCACGCGACCTGCTTGGAACCGGCACTCTGTCCGCCCTGACCCTGCACGTGACCTGCTCGCAGCCGGCACTCTGTCCGCCCTGACCCTGCACGTGACCTGCTCGCAGCCGGCACTCTGTCCGCCCTGACTCCGTACTGCAGGCACATCACAGAGTCACCTGTGTTCTGGACACATGGCTGCAATCCAGCTCCCTACCGGGCAAACATCGTCAACCTGCTGCCTATGGCTATAAAAGGCCAACGTTTTTTATCTTAAGGGTGCCAATTATAGTCGAGTGGATCTTCCCAGCAACTTTAATATAAACCTACTCTGTGGGTATTTGTAGTGAAGTCTACCAATAAAATACAGTTGTCAGAAAATATTTATAACTCACTACGTTTTTCTATATGCAAAGCCAGTCATTGGGGCAATGTTTCTACATTCTTAATCCTTTTAATGATCCTACAAGATAGGTTTCATTCCTATTTTGTAAGTAAGAAACCTGGGCTCAGAGAGACTAATCAGCTCTGTCCAGAAGCAATGGTGGAGCCAGGAACAGAACCTGTCCGCTCCCGTCATGGGTATTCCTTGTTTCCACTGAACTCAACTCTAAAGGAAACTCACAAAGAAAACCTTCTAGTCACCTTTGCATTCACTGCTGCCCCCTTCTGCTTGGCTCTCCGGCGTTTTGGTGGTCAATGGCGAAGCCGCTGGTTTGTTCTGGGGAATATCTTTACCAAATAAGCTGGCGTTTCCTGGGGAGAACGAAAACCCAGTCAGGGGCCCAGAGCTCAAGGAGCCCAAAACTGCACTGTCGACTTTCTTGCCAAAGTTGAACGAGGCACTTGCCGCTCCTGGGGCAGCGGACGGGTCAGTCTTCTTCTCAGACGAGGTCTCCGTTTTGTTGCCGTGGAACAAAAACGGTGATTCAGGTTGTAATTTTGTGGAACCAAAGAGTGAAGGAGACTGTGTTTCCACCAACATCTTGTCAGTCTCGCTCCCAGAATTCCCAGCGCCGCCCCCGTGCTGCTGCTCAATGGTGGCTAAGTATCTCTCATAGTCTCTGAAGATGGGCGTCAGGTCACAGAGCGCGTTTGTGTTCACATGCTTCACGATCCAGTCGCGCACAGAGCAGTTGAGGGCCGCCAGCTGCTTGTGATAGGCGTTCCCGCGGCACGTTGCACTGGCGGGGCAGCCAGGCGAGGGCTGCTGACTGCTACCGTTCGTTTTCGGATTGGAGCTCCTTTTCTCCACTGAGGAGGTAGGGCCATTTGCAGTAAGAGAACCTATAGGAAATTAAAAGTATTGGGTACTCAGAAACTGATGATGCAAAGTTAGGTTTTCATAACACTTCCTGTTTTCTGCTTTTATCGGGTTTCGTTTAGTTTAAGAAACATGTCCACAGCTCCCATTTAAGGACAAGAAACCACAAAAGATCAAACCAGCTGCACCTAAGACCCTGCTCCACGCCAGCCTTGGCACTTGAAAAGTACCCTCTGCCGTCAGACAGATGGCCCATGCAAACAGAACTGCCAGGACACTGTCAGCACCAGGGCTGTCGGCTCCGAGCCTGGAGACCCCAGGTGTGTGGAGCAGAACCGGGCCCCACAGGGTTTCCAATGGCTGTTTTTGGAAGCATACTGCCCGGCTCGTCTCTGAAGGCACCTGAGTGGACTGCCACCTCTGCCCTCTCGGTTAGCAGCCCTGCACGTTTAACCACGTGCACTTCCAGGGTCTCCTCGTCCAACTATGAGATGAGCATAAGACTCACTGCCCATGGGTATGCTGTCGTTGTTGTTATGTGCCGTCAAGTCGCCCCCGACTCATAGCGACCCCTCCTTGGGTTTCCAAGGCAGTTTCACTACGGAAGTAGATTGCCCAACCTTCCTTCTGAGGAGTGGCTGGTGGGTTTGAACCACCAGCCCTCTGGTTAGCAGTCAGGTGCCTTAGGCACTGTGCCACCAGCGCTCCCAGCCCACAGGTGTAGGACGCACAAATGTTAGGCACTGTGCTACCAGAACTCCCGGCCCACAGGTGTAGGGATGCACAAATGTTAGCTGACATCTCAACAGCACAGTGCTTCCTTCAGTCATGCCGAATGCAGGTTAAGCAGTGGGACGTTTCAAGACAATGACCCAAGCCCAGTCTAGCCCACGGCCCAGTCCAGCCCACGGCTCAGTCCAGGCCACAGCCCAGTCCAGCCCACGGCTCAGTCCGGGCCAAGGCCCAGTCCAGCCCACGGCCCAGTCCAGGCCACAGCCCAGTCCAGGCCACAGCCCAGTCCAGCCCACAGCCCAGTCTAACCCACGGCCCAGTCCAGGCCATAGCCCAGTCCAGCCCACGGCCCAGTCCAGGCCACAGCCCAGTCTAACCCATAGTATAATCTAGCCCACAGCCTAGTCTAGCCCACAGCCCAGTCTAGCCCACAGCACACTCCAGCCCACGGCACACTCTGGTCCCCCAGGATCCTTTCAGAGGACTGAGTTTCCAGCCATGGTCCCATTCTCTGCTGTTAATCTTGAGAGCTCGACTCACTCCCTCGACGCAGGCCAGGCAGTCAACACACCCAGGGCAAGCAAAGGCAGCCCGGGAGGCCTGTTACAGGGACAAGGTCATCAGAGTCCTCAGAGCCCTGCTGGTGTGTGGCCCTGAGAGAGCCCTTGAAAGGCTGGATGGGAAGGGGAGCCTCTAGAGTGGTGGGTTCTGAGGCTCAGGGCTCAAGGGGCTTGAGCGAGGCCACAGGCTGATAACTGGCGGGCTGACAGCAGAAGCGGGGTCTGCTCTGGCTCCAATGCCTGTGCCTGAGCCACTAACTCTGTAAACGGCCAACGTCTCCCAGTCCCTCTTGTTATCGCCCTGTATTTGCTGAGTCCCAACACCAGGATAAGCATAAGAAAAATATCTCTGCAAGGTTCTTTTACTCAGTTATCCCTAGATGTGCTGGGGACGAGCACCTACTCACCAGAAGTGGCCTTGGTCTCTGCGGCTGTCCTCGTGCTGGTGAAGGCAGGGGCACCCGTCACACTGCTCCCGTTGGACAGTCCTAAGGGCTTCCCTGCAGCGCCATTTCCGAATCCAGAAAACCCGCCTCCTCCAGAAGGTGCCACCAAACCTTTGAAACCTTTAAAGGCCCCTCCGCTATCGGACTGAAATAGAAAGGAAGAGCCCACGTTAGAGCAGATGGCCCGTCCTGTGAGCAGTGAGCGACGGAACATCGCCACCACAGAAGAACCTGCGCTCACGGAAAGGGCCAGCACAGTGAACGAGCGAGGAAGGTGAGGTGGGGACGGCTCTACCCGCAGAGCAGCAGGCAGCACGTGACCGTCAGGAGCACCAGCGGGACTGACAGGAGGGGACTGTTAGACAGTGCGTGTGTAAGACACAAAAGGTCAGCAGGGACAATGCAAGGACCCACCATCACGCTTCTGAAAAATAATCACAAACACTCATCGCAACCCTAAATCAAAGGCCATGTGCCTAAGTGGCAGAAACAGTGGACAGGATGAACCCAGTGTGCATGTCACCCCTTCACATACAACGTTCTGAGAGTTTCTGCAGCTTTCAACCTGTGCTGAACTGACCCACACCCGAGAGCCGACTGTGCCTCAAACCTAGACGCCGTCAGAGAAACGCAGGGCACTGTCTGATCCCAGCTTTGCTTGGCGCTTCCTTAAACTAGGTTTCTTTCAAAGATCTTTCTTAGTAGACCGCTTGTCATGGTTTCTAGCTCTTTCACACCCCTAAGCTTGGACAATGCTAGGTGGTCCTTGTAAGATTCCGAAACCTCTGCAGAAAGGTCCTGCAGCTTAGAGCTTTACTAAAATCACTACAAACAAGTTCAGATCACCTTCCAGGTAGTGGTTACACCACGGGGGACCGACTCTGCTTCCCGATCAAGGGCCCAGGGCTGCCCTGAGAAGTATTTTCAACAATCCCACTTCTAAGTCCCTCTGAGGGTGGTGCGTACAAATCCCAAGTTCCCACCGAAGTGGTTAGAACTGTGAAAACCAAAATCCTCCATTTCCAAAAGGGCCGGTCCGTCTAATATCACATCTGTCCCACAAAGCTGGCTGCCTCAATCACTGGACCAGCATAACAGCATTTAGGGACCAGACTTACGGGTAATAAAATAAGGCCAAGAACCCAGACCTTAACGTGGAGGAATTTTAATGCAGGTAACAAATATGAGTCAGGGCCTGTGTTTGAAATTTCTTTGATTTTCAATTACTTAAAACCCCAACCCCAAATACACCACTGAGATAGCTGTCATCTGAAAACAGTGACTCACAGACAAGCTGGAAAGCTGCAAGGTGCTCGTAGGGCCTTGGCGTCCGCCTGAGACTTTGAAGTCACAGGGCACTTATAGGTATTTTGGAAATCACTAACAGCAAATTGGTTCTAGACTCACCACGAAGACGCAAGAACAACCATTTCAGCAAAAGGAAGGGCGACATGAGAAAACGAGTAGATGGTAAGTGGCTTTCGAGTTGGGCTCCCCACCAGGGCAGCACCACACCCCACTGCCACCCCAGTCTCCCACACGTGTGTATGGGTGACTGGTCTCTTATCATTTATCAGGATATAAACTCCACAAAGCAGGGAGATTTTGGCCTATTTCATCCGCCAGTGATTATCCCCAGGGCCCAGTACATCTGCTGAATAATCAACCAATAAATTCTATTTAGTTACTTCAGTACGGAAGTTTATGGAGAATCACAGCTTAAACAGTGTAACAAAACCTCAGCGTGAATTTCAATGGCCTGGGTGTATGTCCCGTCCCTGTCCTCTGGCCAGTGCTGTCCCTGCTCTTTCCACGTCTTCACCCTCATCCATTCAGCAGGGGGACCCTCCCTCCTGCACAGGGCCTTCCCTGGCTTCTCTGGGCGACCAAAACTCGGCCTGCAGCCTTTGCTCCCACCGATCAAGACATTTTCCTAACAACTCCACTCATAGGTCCCACAGGCACTTCAAATGCAACATCTCCCAAATAAATCGCTCCCTCCCTAATTAAGCTGTTTCTCCTGTGTCGGTTTGGTGAACCAGCCTCACTTCTCCCTGAATACCTCCACCAGCGAGTCACCAGTCTCAAGGCAGGAATGAAATGAGACCAGCAGAAAACTGAGAATGAAAACCCAGTGAACGGAGGCCACCAGCCAACACGCAGCCGAGGCCCAGCCCAAGGTCACCCACCCCAGACAGGCAGAGTGGCTCCTCCTGCCTGCCAACAGCTGTTCAGGACACCAGGATGGCGCTCTGTGCCTGGAATGCACGAGGTGGGTGAAGAGCGAATAATGTGGAGTGACTGCAGAATGCAGAGCACGTGAGCTCAATCCAAGACGAAAACTCATTTCGACACGGAGCACCAGGAAGCAACGCTTTCATACCCTCTACCATCATACTGGGGAAACGGCCAGCACATGAAGTGCTCCTGTTACCGCTCACGGCTCCATGGCCCGCGCCTGCTACCGCTCACGGCTCCATGGCCTGCGCCGGCACCCCCAGGAGATTAGGACTTGAGCACAGACGTCATGTCCCCCTTTCTGACTCCTGTAATGGCTACGCTTGTTTTCCTTCCTGTTGTCACTCAATCTGTATCTGCCTGTATCTTTTCTTTAAGTGGCTAAGCTCCCTTTGAAAGCTTCAGGCCCCACACGTTTTAAAAATCTACCTCCTTGCCCACACCGAGGACTCTCACAAGGAGAGTGTTTTTATGAAGTCTTTCTTGACATGACTGCTTCCACTGAGGTGGAAATGCTCTGCGCCTCAGAAGTGAAATCTGGCTTCAGGATCAAAACGTGAGAAGCACTCACTTCAAATCCGACATTTCTACGTTTCGCTTTTTTTATGGCTCTGTTCTTCAAGACTTCCTCGCTGGCCACGGAGAATGTTCCCACCTGCAGGGTGACAAACCAAAGAGCAGTTAAGATGTGGTGCAGACACCATAGTCTGGTCCTGGTTGTGTCTTTATAAACCAAACTAAACCAAATTCACTGCCGTCGAGTCAGATCCAACTCACAGCGACCCCTCCTTGGGTTTCTGACGTGGTTATCACTACAGAAGTAGATTGCCCAACCTTCCTTCTGAGGCGTGGCTGGTGGGTTTGAACTGCCAGGCTTCTGATTAGCGGTCAAGTGCCTTAGGCACTACGCCACCAGAGCTCCTAGCAAACTTACCCAACAGCTGCTCCAAGTACTGTGAACACACTGCTGAGAAGGTGGTCAAGTCCGTTATCTGTCTCGTGAATTCCACTCTAATGGCACATCAGAATCTTCCAGAACACACATACCAAGGCTTCGAGCCACCCTCTGCAGAGAGGCTTGCAGGGCATGCATGCACAAAGACTCCTGAGAAGACCAGACGTTGAAATGCTAGTGCAAGACTATCAATAACCAGTTCTTCACATTACTGATAGTAGGGCCCATTCTGCAATCCAGATGCCCCAAACCAGTACCTTGTTACTCAGTGCTCAAAAGTAGATTTTATAATTCTGTTTATGGAGCTCTGGTGGTACAGTGCCTAAGGTATCTGACTGCTAACCAGAAGGTTGACGGTTCAAATCCCCCAGCCACTCTGCAGAAGGGAGACTGGGCAATCTACTTCCTTAAAGATTTATTGCCTGGGAAACCCAATGTGGGTCACTATGAATCGGAATCGACTTGATGGCAGCGTTTTTTTTTTTTTTTAATCTGTGTATCACTTATACCCTTAACTTTAAGAAGCCACATGTCCACTGCTCACAAGGACACCAGGGCACCAACAACTCTTAACAACCCTGCTGAAAACCCCTGCCAGAGCACTGTAATGGACTCTGTCTGCACCATAATCTGTGGAGCCTCAGGCTTTACTGCAACCCTTCCTTCACACTGGAGAGTGGCTACAAGGCATTTTGTGTTAAGAAAAAAAAAAAAAGGTCCCATCTATAGTTATTCTGGAATTGACTGGATGGCAGCAGGTTTCATAACCATTCCAGATCATGTCACATTTAAAAGGAGCCCTAATACCCACAGCCACTCCTCAGAAAGAAGGTTGGGCAATCTACTTCCGTAGTGATATTGCCTCGGAAACCCAAGGAGGGGTCGCTATGAGTCAGGGCCGACTCGACGGCACATAACAACAACAACAATACGCACAGAGGAGCTCTGGTGGTGTAGTGCCTAAGGCACTCGACTGCTAACCAGAAGGTTGGTGGTTCAAATCCACCAGCCACTCCTCGGAAGGAAGGTTGGGCAATCTACTTCTGTAGTGATACTGCCTCGGAAACCCAAGGAGGGGTTAGGGTTCGGGTTCGGGTTCGGGTTCGGGTTAGGCTGTAAGTAAGGTTCGGCTCGACAGCACATAACACCACCACACCCAGACAGGCCAGTCAGCTGCATCTGCCCACAGCGGAGGTCCTTCCATACTCGTGTCACTAGAAACTGTCCAAATGTGTGTTCTTTGATTCCTGGCCTACGTTTACGCTAGTAGTTTAGATCTTAATGTAAGTGGGCTAAGACACAGAGAAACAGCCACAGCCAAAGGCTCACTAGTGATAAAGCGCCAGGTCAGTTAGGAGTGTAAAAGCCCTACCAGCACACTGACTCATCCGTGATTCTGGTTTCCCGAGAAATACTAGTAGTCCACATTATCTATGAAGGAAAACACATTATACAGCCATGTGTCGTTTAACGCCCACAGTATGTTCTGTGAAATGGGACGTCATGTGACTTGGATGTGGTGCAAACACCATGTCATCATCTGGACCTGCTTTTTCTTTAAACATTTCAAACAAGCTTTACAACTCATCAGTGACCATCAACGTGCTGAGAGGGACTCCCTTTAGTGCCTGGTCCTCAGTCCACATCGTGAGCAATTTCTCCGCATCTGATGCAGGTCCCTCACTTATCAGCCTTCCAGCTTCAGTGGAACTGAGCCTTCAACAGCTTGGAGAACTTTTCTGTTTTGGGGGACTGTAGTGACTGTCAAGTATGACATGCTTAAATCACAAGCAATAGTATTCACTGGTTGCCACCTTCCTGTTGTTTTATAACCTTGTTTTCCTCCCAAACCATCAGTCTCCTTGGCCTCTTGCTGCTATTAGCTCACTAGCACTGGTTTTGCTGCGTTTGGGAGCCCTGATGCGAAAATTAAACAGAGAGATAACATTACGATACCCAAGAGATAGGCGATATACAAGACTGGACGCAGCTGCCTTTGAGTGGAAACACACACTTCATATAAAGTTACATGGTAAACTTTTTGGAAAGAAGTACAGTACACACGTAAGTCAGAAACAGAGTGTTTTCATGACTGTCAAATCACTGTTACAGGTTATGTATGTACCATATTATCGTATGCCCAGTAGAACAATCGCTTCATGTACAAGAGATGTGAGATATATGTCCGGCGTGTGGGATGCTATTTTGTTAGCTACAACCTGTTCTCTGATCTGGATTTTTGAACCCTACGGGACCAATGATATAATGTGCAGTTGGACGGTGCCTGAGTGGATGTTATCTGGTGTATGGGTGTACTACAAAGTACACTCAGAAAGTAGAAAAGCAGCTGCCTAAATGAGCTTGGGAACACACCTGCGGGTCCTGTGTGTGTGTGTGTGTGTAAACCTTAGCACTACCCTAACAACCTGACTGGCTATCTTTGCCACAGATGTCCTCAGTGAAGTGGCCTGTGAGTCACTGCTGATGAGGTGCCAGAAGTGTGGCCGCGCCCCATCGTTACAGGAGGAAACAGCGAGGTTTCCTCAAAGAAGACCATTTCCATTTCGTTAGGAGTCAACGAGGCCACTCAAGGAAGTACAATATCCAAAGTCCATTCTTCTTAGCCAATTGTCGGGGGTCCCGGACCCACTGAACAGCTTCCAAGAAGCATCAGAGTAACAGTGGGTACCGCAAGCTTTTGAAATCAACAATCATGGGCCTGGCAGACCTAGTTGGGGGGTGAACCACTTTTCAAGTCTGAATGCCAGCACTGGAAACTCCAATGACCAGCTCACGTAAGCTGCAGTCATGACTAAAATGACTTAGCTCCAAAGCACAGGTGTAGGATGCGGCACATTTAGGAAATTCACAAAGAAGCCGCTTCTACAAAGGAGAGTAGTTAAGGAACAGATGTGTGGAAAAGCCCACCCAAGTGTAACAGCTTTCTGTACTAAGCACAAGTCATGAGGAACCACAGTCCTTACTGTTCAGGATGTGTGTACAGGGGCTTTTACATTTGTATCATAAAGACTTCATGCAGAACCTCACGAGTTTAAGCTTAAGAGCAGCATGACCTCATTCTTACAAAAACTACTTTGTACCTCCTCTGCTTCGTCTTCTTGATCCCAATTCCTATCCGTCAATTCCTTCTCGGCAATTCTTTTCGCCATTGTTCCAAACCTAAGTATAGAGAATAAAAGTAAACAGATTATTTTTCTAGAGCAAGATATAACTCTTATAAGGAATTTTAAAAACGTATTCTAGCACGAAGTGAGATTAGAAACATTTCTGATGCCAGTGGAAACTGCTTCAGTGAGAACTTTCCACTGGTATCAGCACCGCGGTATTATTAAGTCCAGTAAGGGACTATGCAAGGAGGCAGCGGAAAGTGCCTAAGGAACACTAGCACTTTTCCTGACCAACATCAGATCAACTCCATATGAAAAAATTAAAACGAAATACTGATTTTTTAAAAAAAGTCTGGCATATGGTGTAATCAACAAGTGCTTTACTAACATATTCTATGTAAATCACACTTATCCTCTTGATCTAGGCAAACCAAACTCACTGCCCAGTGGATCCGACTCATAGTGACCCCTCCTTGGGTTTCCGAGGTGGTATCACTATAGAAGTAGATTGCCCAACCTTCCTTCCAAGGAGTGGCTGGTGGGTTTGAACTGTCAGCCTCCTGGTTAGCAGTCAAATGCCTTAGGCACTATGCCACCAGAGCTCCCTGATGTAGGCAAAGCACGTTTAATATTACAAATTCTCCTTAAAAACGATCCGCTGACGAAGTTCACTTAGGTCTGAATCTTAATAAGGTGTTGGAAATATCTCTGCAACATGCATACTCTTCTTTGGCTACAGCTAGTAGACAGGAAAATATGTTACCCAAGAGAGAACAATTCAATTCAGCCAAATTGTGTCTTGTTAAGCTAAGTAGCTCTGGTGGCATAGTGCCTAAGGCATGTGACTGCTAACCACAAGGCTGGTGGTTCAAACCCACCAGCCACCCCTTGGAAGGAAGGTTGGGCAATCTACTTCTATAGAGATACTGCCTCCGAAACCCAAGGAGGGCTCGTTATGAGTTGAACTGACTTGATGGCCGTGAGTAGCTAAGACATCACTTTAACGTCTGAATGTGTTTGATGGAATCTTCACACCTTGGGAACACACAATTCTTCAATAAACCATCAGCTTGGTTCCTGTGTCCCCACGCTGGGGGAGGGTGGGGCTCACAAGTGCTACAGTGGACCCTAGTGCCTGCCCAGAGAGGGTGCCAGTGTCCATTCCTGAAAACCGGCAACTTGTGTTCTGACCCTACAGCGTATACTTTGCCGTTTAAAAAATACAAACCACCCCCAGACTGAGACTCTGGCTGTGACGTGTCTTCTCTCATACACCAGCTGGATGGACAAAAAGCCCCTTCCAGCTCCTCTGCTCCCCATCTGACCCTGGAACTTATCACTCATGTCTGTGTACCTGCCAGGGCTGGGGAACCCACCTGGCCTCCTCCGTGATGGTCCTTCCTCACTCTCGTCTGCCTTTAGCACCACCACCCACTGGACAAAGCTTCTTGGAACCACACGCTCACAAACTTACACATCCCCTACTGCTCTCTTACCAAAAACCCCCAAACCCCAAACCCGCTGCTGCTGAGTTGTTTCCCACTCATAGCAACCCTACGAGACAGAGCAAAGGTGCCCTGTGGGGTTTCCAAGGCTGTCCATCCCTACATAAGCTGACTGCTTCATCTTTCTCCTGCTGAATGGTGCGTGGCTTCAAACCGCTGATCTTCTGGTTAGCAGCCAAATGCCTTAACCCTGCACCACCACAGCCGTTTAGCACCCTCTCACTGCCACCGAGTCAATTCCAACTCACAGCGACCTCCACTGGGTTTCCAAGGTGGTAAACCCTTAGGGAAGTAGACTGCCCCATCTTCCTTCAGCAGAGCAACTGGTGGCTTTGAACTGCCAACCTCCTGGTTAGTGGCCAATGCCTTAGGCGCTGCGCCAAAGCCCCTTACTGTTCTCTTTAAAACAAAAACAAAATGAAACAAAAAACCCCACTGCCATCAAGTCGATTATGACTCAAACCTTTTGGGTTTCTGTAAAGACCTCTGGTGGTGTAGTGGATAAGCCACTTGGTTGCTAACCAGAAGGTCAGTGATTCAAACCCATCAGCTGCTCCGTGGAAGAAGGGGCAATCTACTGCTATAAAGATTTGCAGCCTTGGAAACCTAATGGGGATTGCTATGAGTCAGAACGGACTTGCGGCTGGCGGGTTTGAACTGTGAACCTTCTGGCTAGCAGCTAAATGCCTTAGGCAGTACATCACCAGAGCTTCTCGATGCAGTCAATTTATTTTTGTGGTTTGTTTTTGTAAATATCGACAGCCTTGGAAACTGTAAGGGGCAGTTTCACTCTCTCCTTTAGGGGTGCGGTGAGTCGGCATCTACTTGACAGCGATGGATTTTTAGTGGCGTAGTGCCTAAGGCATTTGCCTACTGGAGCAGAAGGCTGGCTGTTCAAACCCACCAGCCGCTCCTCGGAAGGAGGATCGGGCAATCTACTTCCATAGAGATACTGCCTTGGAAACCCAAGGAGGGGTCGCTATGAGTCAGATCCGACTTGATGGCAATGTGGTTTTTTTTTTTTTGGTATAGCAACTATTAGGAGCACTGGTGGCATAGTGCCTAAGGCATGTGACTGCTAACCAGAAAGCTGGTGGTTCAAAGCCACTAGTCACTCCTCAGAAGGAAGATTGGGCAATCTACTTCCGTAGAGATACCACCTCGGAAACCTAAGGAGGGGTCACTGAGTCAGATGGACTCCTCAGCAGCGTGTGAGTATCCATATAAAATACATGTGCAGGCCTGCACTCTACAGTCCTCCCGGTGCTGATGTCCTGTAAAGTGGTTACCCAGGGGCTTTCAATGCTCACCAATCGCCTAACATATATGAATGATTCTTTTACAAGTATGTGCGCTATCTCTAATTACAGAATAAGTGATGTTAAAGTCCAAGGTTCTAAAATTCCTCACAACCAGTACTGATCAGTTTAATGGCCAGGTCTCTATGGATTCTTCCTGCCCCATTCCTATTCATTGTTGACCTCCACCAGAGGGCAGAAAAGATGAGAAGTTGAAACAGGTCATTTTTGTTGAGATTAACTGTGGGTAAACAAGGGTGGGGCTGAAGTGCAACAACTGTAATAGGAGTAAGACTGTAACATGAGCATCTACCCACAACTGAAGAGATAACTGGCCTTGTGAAATAACCTAGGTGAACACCCAGCTGCAGCCTCTGTGTAACACCGCAACTGCTCCGTCAGTACAGAGAAGGTGACTGTACTGCTCTGTTGACTGATGTATTCCCAACGCCCCATCAGCGTCCAGCTCAAGGCAGGTGCTGTGTCTGTTGCAGAAGCAACAGGGGATTGGGGCACTAGCTAGCTGACAAAGGAATGGATTATATCAGCAGCTCGAGCTTGCCATTTGCTAGCTGTGAGACTGTGGACAAGTTTTACAGCTTTTGTGCCTCAGTTTCTGCATCTGTAAAATGGGAAAGAGATGGATGAATAAAAACAGCTTAAACAAAATCAGCTTAGTTCAATAAAGGACCTGGTGCACAGGAAGGGTTTAACTAACATTATTATTAACAAAACAAGTTTTCTTAGAAGCAATGGCTATAAAATGTTATTTTTCATCCAAAACTTAAAAATGGGAATGGAAAATTTACAAAAGAAGAAATTCAGGTGACCGACAAACACATGAAGAACTTGTTTGCCATCATTAGCCATTAACTCACTGCTATTGAGACGGATCCAACTCATAGCCACCCCTCCTTGGGTTTCCGAGGCAGTCTCTCTATGGAAGTAGATTGCCCAACCTTCCTTCCAACGAGTGCCTGGTGGGTTTGAACCACTAGCCTTCTGGTTAGCAGTCAAGTGCCTTAGGCACTACTCCACCAGGGATGCAAATCAAAACAACTATGAAGTATCATCTCACCCCAGTATTAATAGCAAACAAAGTTCAACAAGACAGAAAACAACAAATGCTGGCAAAGATATAGAGAGATTGGGACTATCATACACTGCTGGTGGGACTGTCAAATGATACAACCACTGTGGAAAGCAGTATGGTGATTCCTTAAAAAGTTAGAATTAAAAATACCATTTGATGCAGCAATTTCATTATTAGGTATGTTGTTGTTGTTGTTATGTGCCGTCGAGTCAACCCTGACTCATAGCGACCCCTCCTTGGGTTTCCGAGGCAGTATCACTACGGAAGTAGGATTGCCCAACCTTCCTTCCGAGGAGTGGCTGGTGGGTTTGAACCGCCAGCCTTCTGGTTAGCAGTCAAGTGCCTTAGCCACTATGCTACCAGAGCTCCCATTATTAGGTATATACCCTAAAAAAGTGAGAGCCAGGACAAGAACTGATAGAGGACACCCATGTTCATCACAGCACTATTCACACAGCAAAGAGATAGAAACCACCTGAGTGTCCATCAACCAAGGAATGGATAAACAAACTGTTACACACAGAAAATGAAATACTATACAACCCTAAAGAATAATGTAGAATCTGCAAAATACCACATAACGTGGATGAACTTGGAGGATATTATGCTAAAAGAAATAAGTCAATCACAGAAAGACAAATAGTGTATTAGTCTGTTACCATAAAAAGTCAAGGAAAGGTTTATACAAGGAAGGAAACTTTGTTGGTTGGCAGAGATGGGAGGGGAGGCTAAATTCCTAGGTATGCTGGGGGCGTATACATAGACATACAGATGCAGCAAGGACTATCAGTGGTTACCAGGCTAGGAGGCGGGACAAAGGGGGAGCTTTTGTTTGCAGAGCACTGGGTTTATGCGAATGGTGGTGGAATACTTTGCAAAAGGACAACCATAATGGTGTCACAACATGAAAAATGTCATCGACGTCCCTGAGCTGTAAATGGGGAAGTTGTTAGGGTGGCCAATGTCTTGTTGTGCATGTTTTCACAATAAAAGGGGGGAAAAAAAAGTAGGATGGAAAAATATGTAACTTACGAGCCAGACTTTGAAGCAGTATTTTACCCCAAAGCATGACACTCTGGACCATAAATATCTTTTTCTGCAAAAAGAGGAGATCTCTGTGAAGTATTAGAACAGGATCTATTACGT